CACAGAAAACTTACTTTGCTATTCCCTCGTCCATCAGTTCCACCCATATTTTTATTATATTGCATTATAGCATGTGGTCTTGTGATTGGAATGGGAAAACTGATCAACGTTTTGAATTGGCTGCACTCCATAAGAAGTGCTAACTACGGTAACAACGCTGTTATCCTTCCAGCGAATGTATTGGACTCCACTTTTTTTTTCGAGGGTAGTGGAATAACTTCCTCTGTTTTGCTTATTCATTTGTGTTTTGGGGGATAGTGGACATTCCCTAGGAACCCGATTTTCGCGAATCGTTCCTGTGACACCATAACCATTTCGTTAGAATAATGTTAAGAATATTTGGTCCCGTAAAAAGGTTGTCTATAAATATATTGTAACGAAACGATTCATTGATGTTTCTCAAGTCATCAAGCATTTGAACAAGAGGAGCTGCACATTTTCCAAAATGCGATTCGATTTCACTATTTGCCCTTGGGTTTTTGCCTTGGTATACCTCTAAATTTACTAAATATCCGGATGGCTTATTTAGGCACCAAACCTTGTACCCAAACCTAATTGGTTTGCCACAGATGAATTACTTGTATCCGTGGCGTCTGTAATATCGAATCATCGATTCATCATACAAGTTTGGCTCAGGTACAAAATGTTCTAGAAATTTGTTTTTTAAATAACCCATTAGGGGTCTAAGCTTGTACATTTTGTCATTTTGATCTACAGCTGTATTATCAGCAAAATGGATAAAGCCACAAATTTGTAGAAACCGATCTCTTCTCATTGCCTCATGCTTTTGAAGAGTCCCACTAACTCCGTTTTGACGGTAGTTCGTTGTATCCATTTACTAATAAAATGGCTATAAAACTCTCAACTCTTCCACAGAGGCCTGTGGATAAGGACAATTTCGAAAAAGTACATAATTTGTTGTTTCCTGAGAAATGAGCTGCAATAACTGATCAGTAAAAAAAGTTCAAACAGTTTACAAAAAGTTATATTTTTATATATATCGTAGTTTTCTTTTGGAAAGTAATGATTAGTAAATAGTAAATCTGAGTCACAAAATTCAGGATTAGGTGGGACCTTGTCAGGTTTCAATGCACTCTTGTTAGTTTGTTCAGTACTAGTAGTGGGCATATTTTCTAAATTTTCCTCCATCAAGCCACTGTTGCTACTCGTACCCGCCACAATTTCATGGTGTAAATCACTGTTCAAATCATCTGCGATTCTGCCAATTCTCCTAGAATTAGTAAAACGTTTTTCGGCTCCAGCAATAAGCTGTTGGGAACTCAGATTATCAGCCAAACCTCCCCTGTCTTCATCAGAGGAGTCCTCATCAGTTAACACGTGGCTCTCTGGAGGTTCTATAAATACCGTATCTGAGTCTGTTTCATACGCAATGTCTAAGGCTTCTTGTAACGTGGTTCCACTATAAACAAAAATTTGTTCGTAACAAAATTCAACTTTTCCACAAAGCACCTAGAGGTTCCATACACCCAATTTTTAGTCTACAAAAAAATGTTGCTACTTTTTTGTAAAAACTGTATTGAAACTAATTAGGACTATCTTTTATTTGAATTGAAAAACGATTATAATGGAATAATTCTTAAAAGACAAGGAATTATTATACTTACATAAATTTTATATCTGACATTTTTATTCGTTGCAAAACAAAAGTTTTTAGCGTAGCACAAAATAAACCAACACAGTTCACTCTGTCATAAACAGACGAAAGAAAGTGTCAAAGGTCAACTGACTTAGCAAAACTAATGAAAAGCGCGCTGTACTGTCTCCACCGTGCATCTGAAAAATATGACGCGTAGTGAGCCCATATGGTGACTAATGGGTTAAGGTGACCATATTCCTGGCCGAGAAATAGTCAAATTTCTGGCGATTTTAGGTACTGAAATCTTGAAAAATAAAACGTGCAGAACAAAAGCACAAAAATAAAATCCTTGATGTTCTGTTTATTCATTGTTACTATTTAAATTTACTCAAATAAAATAATAACTTAAAAAAAGCGTTTGTAAAACATGCGTTTGCTGTTATCCTAATCCCACATTTTAAGAATTATTTTCACGTACTTATAAATAGAAGTAAACAATTTTATATGTAGGACTATGCAAGTAAATGTTATAAGAACATTTACATGTGGAGTGATATATAAAAAAGTTAGTATTTTTGTAGATTTCAGTACCTACCTAAAACCTTGATGGTTTGATTGTTTTTTGCACCTGTTTATTCGTTTTACTGCGGCGTCTTTGAAAATACTCAGATGGCAAGGCATAACATTCCTATTACTTGATAAGCTTTAGATTATTCAGTTTATAAATGTTTGAAATTATTTATCTTTGCGGAAAACACTATTTAAAGAATACGGCGCATTGCATTGATTTATTTTTTGATCATAATCTACTTACTTGTAATATTAATATAAATAATAATATTAAAATAATAATGTAATAAATGAAGGAATACTTATAATATACAATATTGAATGAATATGTTAAAAAACAAAAAATAATTTTTTTGCAGGTTGTGGTTAAGTATAACTTGAGCTATTTTTTCTGATTTCAGTCAGCTGCGTTTTGTATTTATTGTAAGTCCAGCCTTTGAGAAAACTCGGTCACATGGAACTGACTGAGCTGTTATGCATAATCTTTATTACATAAAGATGAAGATATAGTTGTGATTTTCTTCCCACCAATGAAAAGAGTGTTCTGTCCTAATCAAAGACTTGTTTAGGTACTTATCTGATTCAATAATGCTCACAGCTGTGAGGTTACAATAAAAATTATCTTGATGTTTTCATCAAAATCGTCCCAGATAGATCATTTTCTTCAATGCTGTCTTCAGAATCTGATTTTTTTTCAGCAATTTTGATTAAATGGTTCTTCTTCTACATGAAGTGTGGAAATTATTAAAAACTACATTAACAGCATTATCAGACGCAATACATGTTATTTTGTTAGTATGTCATTCATCGACTTCGTCTTTTAGTTGCTATCTAGATTTTCAACTGTATGATGATTATCTGAAGTAACAACTCAATTTGTAAAAAGAAATGAGAAGAATTTTTCTATTTTCACTGTCGACACAATGGTATATGATATAGAAAAACTTTGATTATTTATTGAAATCCACCCATCTGTTGTCATACATATATACCAACCATTGATAATTTATTTTTAATAGTTTCTTTTACCAGGGTATATGTGTTTGGTATTAAGTTATTCGAAATAGTTTTTCTATTAGGTAAGCTATAATTGGGGTTTAGCATGATTACAAATCGTTTAAATTTGGGGTCTTCAACTGTTTTAAGTAGATAATATTTTTTGTAATCATTCAAATCAATTGCTCAAGTAATTTCTACTTACTTACTAATATCAGTCTTTTTGTAAAATTTGTAATTCTTTGTTGAGTAATTGATGTTTTAGGTGTGGCATTTAATTTGGTTAGTGTGTTACATACATCAGGCCCGGTCTGGCTCTTTCAGGGGTCGTTGGGAAAAATCAAAATCGGGGCCTATTTGGTTTTGTCTGTTATTAGGGTGCATATCAACTCTCCAAAGTAAAACTGTCATATCTCAAATTTGGTTATACTGAGATAATTGCATTTGAATAGTTGAGAAAATAATAATGTTTATTTTTTTTATTACAAGAGCTAAATTGTTCTTTTTTAACAAAGTAATTATTGTTTAGGTCTTAATTAATTATTGATGATCTAAATTAAATAGTTTAGGATAAGAAAAAAATCGATTTTGAATGAGTTACTAAAGTTTTCGTCGACAAAATTTTTATTGTGAAACAACTTGCTACATTAATTAGGTACAGAAAAATTAAACATTTTCCATTTTTAGATAAAAATATAATTGTTAATAATCAATAATGACATAAAAGGAAAATTTATTATGATTCAGAGTCAGAGTCTTACTAGCAGGCCGAAGGGAGTAGTAAAATCCATGATACATCGGTGGTATCAAATTAGCCTTACACAGACCCAAAAGACCGCTTAATTTTTACCATCAATTGGCTGTAAACTTTAATGTCCACACCCCAAAAATGATCCAAATCCATTGATAGGTATTCGAGTTATTAACAAAATTTAAAAAATTTTTACCAACTTTGAGGCCATCTAGCGGGCAAACTAAGCGATTTCGGATATAGGTGAATTGGCCTAGATCTGCCTATTTTGAGTCTACGAATCTGTGGTCTTCCGTTGTACACGTTATTTTGAGACACCCTGCATATACAGGGTGGTCCAGATTTTAATAGACAAACTTTGGGATAATACTAAACAGCAAAAATTAACGTCACTTTGCTCTATCAACACAGGCGCAGAAAGCTACTGTTTATGAGATACAGGACGTTGAAATTAACGAAAATAAAACAATTTTTTTAAATATCTGGAAAACCGCTTCATCAAATTTATACAAAGGTACACATTTATTTTTAAACAATTCTAGTTCTGTATGCATACAGTCCAAATTCAAAAGCCAGTGGCAGAGAAACAATGATATCGTTTCCCTATTTAAAGTAAAACTTCTACGCTACTGAATTAATTGTTAATATGAATATATTTTTCACTATCATAGCACTATTCACTATCATAGCAAAAGTAAAGATATATGAAAAACAAATAAATTAAATCAATTGCTCGAAGTGTCCATCTCCAAACTCGATGCACTGGCATCTTTTGGTTATAAAATCCACTGCAGCTCTGATTAAAACTAGATTTTACTTCAAATTAGTGCAGGCCCCATTTAGCCTTTGCACTAACTGGTCTATATTTGCTATAGGAACGGCATAATTTTTTAGGTTACCTACCCTCAAATAAAATAATGCAAAATATTTAGATCAGGTGATCTAGGTGGCCAAGGTATGAGGCCATTCCGAACAATCCAACGAATTGTAACCACTAGAAGGAGCTTTGGATGTATTTGTTTGCGAATGTACATAAATAAATCAGATCTTCAGGAGACACAAATTTCTATTGGTCGAATTAATATTCGACAGATGACATCTGTCAAAGGAAAAGTATGTATTAATGTATTTGAGTTTATTTGTGTTTAGTGTGGCATTTCCCCCTTATTGTTGTGTAGTTTTTATGTATGGACATTTATTTAGTGCTAGGACATGGTTAGAAAGTATGTTATTTGTAAAGTTTTATTTAAAAAGGGCGAGCAGCGGTCTTTTGACAGGTAAGTAAACAAGCAACATGGGCGGCGTTTTAGGAATTACATAAGGGTGTTTTACATTTAGTACTTAATTAGCATTGATAAAATACTGACTAAATCATTATCTAAATTATTAAAAAGATATATTTTTTAATTGTTCAACTTTTCCTGTTTCAGTAATATTATAAGTATATTATGAGTAATACCTGTATTTTTTAGATTTCCTAAGAATATGGAACGGAGAAACTTGTGGAAGCTCTCCCTAGGTGATGTCAATATTACCGACAACATTTTTTTTGGTTGTGATGATCATTTTGCAATTAATGATTTTCTGACAAAGCCATCAGGTATAAAGTACTTGTGAGAGATAGCTATTCCAATTATAACTTCTACTTATAAAGGGAAAATAACTTTTATATTCATTAAAATATACAAATAAAAAGCCTTTACAGTTACCTAGTACCTCTTTACCTTTTTATTTAATTTTTATAGATCAGACAGTTCTAATAAGGAAAATATTTCTCTAAACGATGTTCTTACGGAACAGTCATTGCACTTGCCACAACAAAAACCAGAAAATATATCCACATGTTCATCGTCATCAACACTACAAATAAGGCTACAGATCTTTCTGAAATATATTTGAAATTTGGTGACACCATACCGAAACATTGATCAACATTAACTGCATCAGAAATAGGAATGGATTCACCCAATCGCAATAAAATTATAAACGTGAAGTAAGTTATAAAAATATAAATAACAAATTATATATCCTTTGTATAGTATCTACAACTAATACCCTATAATTTTGATATCTGCTTACCTATCTAACATTTTTTTTATTCAGTACCTATTTATATATTACCATTTTATTTTATATAAACACTACCGTAGGTGTTTATATAAAATACATCTGGAATAGATAATTCATAATTTTTAGTAAAACGCCTTATCCACGATATTTTGGAGAATGCCATACTTCTGACATGGATCCAAAAAGAGCAAGAAAAAATTGGAGTATTTGTAAGAAAAAAATAAAAATGCAAACAATAAAGATCCGAAGTCTGCAGCAGGCAAAGAGTCGTCTAAAAGCCAGAATTTGTAGTCTTAATTCTCTTCTGAAATTTTTGAAAAAGAAATATGACAACAGAAACTGCTCAATGTATCATTCATGTAAGTTGAAAAATACTTATTCTTTCTGTGTCTGTAAACAATATGTAATTTTAGGAATCAACACCTGGAATATTAGGTGAAATCTGTCAAAGATCATGAAAATGACAATCTCGTAAAAAGTATTCACCTGAGCTTAGGTCGTTTGCCTTATCGTTAAGCTTTTATTCAACAGATGCTTATAATTATGCAAGAAGTTTTAACATGGCTTTGCTACATACGAAAACAATTTTTAAGTGGTACAGATCTATAGATGGAACACCTGGATTTACAAATGAAGCATTGGCTGCTATTAAAATGAAAGTAAGAGAAACAAACAGTGAAATTTTGGGCAATTTGGTATTTGACGAAACGTCTATAATGCAAAGTGTTGAGTGGAATAGGAAACAATTCACTGGATATGTTGATGTCGGCACTGAAGTATATGGGGATAATATTCCAAAAGCTACGGAAGCCCTTATTTTTATGGTTGTAGCTATAAATAGTCATTGGAAAATACCTGTTGGGTACTTCTTGACAAACGGTTTAAGTGGTGGAGAAAAAGCTAATTTTGTTAAAAAAATGTTTAGAATTTTTAAGTGAATTGGGTATCAAAATAGTTTCTGTTACTTTTGACGGTGCTCCTTCAAATATCAAATTACGGCTTTACCATAAATGTTTATGTTAATATTAATAAGTAGGTAGATTGTAAGTTTGTAGCATTTTAGGTTATTTGTTGACTTATTACTGTTTCAAATTGGTTTTCTAATAAAAACTAGAAAAATAACCAAACATTTGTCTTTTTATGATTTCTATAAGTCACTAGTGGATTTTATGTCATACTATTGATTTATAGGCCACATAGGCCTTTAAAACCAAAGAAATTATAGTATCATTATATACAAGTGTTGGATAAAAGCATTTAATTAATCAGTCAAAACAATTTGAGTGTAGTAAACAGTTTATTAATTTTACTTTAATTTTTACCGTCTCATTATATCAGTAATATGTAAAAATTATTTATAAAATGAGTAATCCTTTCAAATGTGTATTGGTATTTGGTAAATTTTAATATTTTGCCTTTTTTGACAGTACACCACTGCCGTTGTGTCTCATTGTTTACATTTGACACTATCTATCTTTATTTATTAGGTAGTTCTCTGTTTTGATGTTTGCTACAGTTAAACACATGTATAAGAATACACAAAGCTCCTTCTAGTGGTTAGAATTCGTTGGACCAATCCATCTATTTTGGTAGTTGTTTGACAACCATTCACGAACTACCTAGCTAGAATGTGCTGGCGCCCTGTCCATTTGAAACCAGGTCCCGATTCCTTGCGACGAAGGTATGTCCATTAAATGGAGTCCAAAAAATTTAAAATCATCGGAATTTAGTTAGGTGGCATGATGTTTACTTTGTTAATATGTTTCATAACTCGTAAACCATTCACTTTTCGAAAAAATAAAATAATGTTTTTTCATCCGGAATGTTTCAGACCTTTATTAATTGTATTTATATTAACAATTAATTCAGTGGCGTAGAAGTTTTACTTTAAATACGGAAACGATATCATTGTTTCTTCGCCACTGGTTTTTGAATTTGGACTGTATGCATACAGAACTAGGAGAAATATTTGAAAAAAAAATGTGTACCAAATTTGGATAAATTTGATGAAGCCGTTTTCCAGATATTTAAAAAAATTGTTTTATTTTTGTTCATTTCAACCCCTGTATCTCATAAACAGTCGCTTTCTGCGCCTATGTTCATAGAGCAAAGTGATGTTAATTATTAAAATCTGGACCACCTTGTATAGAGCAGCAAGGGAAACTGAATAGTTAAGAAAAAAACCAGTGATGTATTTGGGATCTAGTTCACCTTTGAAAGGGAGCAGAACAACTGCATCCTGTTTTTGGATGCCAATAAATAGAGACCAACATAATAAGTTAGCCACGAAGTGGTATAGAAAATCTATGAGTAGTGGCAGGTACATTAATTTTCATTCATACCATCAAAATAGAATGAAACTGAATCTAATCACAGCCCTTAAAGCCAGGGTATGTAAACTGACACACCCCAGTTTCTTAAATCATTCGCTTAACCGCTTAAGGGGGTCCTCTAGTTTCTCGAGTCGAAAAAACCGAATTTTTTTTTTTTTCATAAATCACATTTACAACATGTGTAGAAAATGTGTGCCAAAGGATTTTTCGATATTCGAAGTGGTTAACAAATTATGGCCCTGGAATGGAGAAGGTATACGGAGCGCGCACAATGCTGCTCCGCAAAGCCGAGCGGCACTGACCATTATATTGATATCCCTAAATCTAACTGAATCGCGAAAAGGGAAGACGGAGCAGCGCTGCGTGACTTCCAAGAAGAAGAGGAAGGCCTACTGTATGGTCCAGGCATAGCAGATTGACGGTGAGATGGAATTTTTATCATAAATCACATGCGCGAATTTTGAAACGCGTTTTTCTCGAAACACTATTTTTCAAAACGGTGACCACGATATTTCAGAAACTACTGCACCGATCTTGATCAAATTTATACAACATCTTTAATATGTTATAAGCCAGCGATTGAACTAGGATTATCATGATTGCTTCGATAGTTTTTTTTCAACGAGCGAGAAACTTAAGAAAAAATGAGTAAAAAATAGAATTTAATTTTCAAAAGTGTATAAAAATAATAATTTTTGTAATTTAGAATTCATTCTAGTTCAATCGCTAGTCTTAAATATGAAGATTAAAATGCCGTTTGGTTTTTTGATTTCAGATAACCAAAACAGCCGCAATCTTGGTCACCGTCAAGCACCTCCTTCACTTGATGTCTTCCTATCGGCCACTATAACTTTGATTCTATTATATATTTTGTCTTCAAAAAATTTGTAAAGCTCATTTAAATGTTAATAAAGATAATGTAAAAACAATGAGATTTATTATTTCGATGGTTTGCCCGTAAAAAATTTTTGAAAAAGCCGTAAAAAAAACAGCCGAGAAACTAGAGGACCCCCTTAACGCTCAATTTTTCTTCTGTATGTCAACCAATTTAAGTTCTATTTTTTTTTAATGTGTTTTCTGGAAAAAACTTATTACCGAATCTCCGTCTGACAAAAAAAATTGAAAAAAGTTATTTAGAGTGGGGTAATAATTTATTGAAAATATACAAATTATCTAACCCGAGATAATACGGGCACTCGTACATAATAAGAAACAAGTATTACTTCAAGAAAATTATTATATACAAGTCAGTGAACATATACATATTTGAATTCCGAGTGAACATATAAGAAAAAACAAATAAAAACAGAAAATCCCTAACCTGGAAGCTCGGAAATTGATTCCTAACGGCTCAATTCAAATGTTTGCCACTGTGTGGTAAACACGGAAGCATGGGGTTACACACAAAGCTACATCACAGTCTGGACACCAGTATCTGCTTTCTCGCCGAATTTTTTTGCCTCTTGCGTCCCTTACCCTGCTGCAAATTCCGCACTGTCTTGTGGGGTTGGCCTTCTTCTCAGTAGCTGGTATATACTCTGGAAAATGACGCCCAGTTAGGCGAGATGAAGGTAGAACTGTAGACGGTCGACCTCTTTTTGCTGAAAACTCCATCTTGTGGTACTTTTCCATCGACAACTTGACAATATCTAATCTGTATGTAAGTGCCGATTTTTTACCACCTTCCATTTTATAAAGGACGAAAGAGTTCCATAGGGCAAGATCAAGAAGATGGAAAAATATTTTCTTATAATATTTCTTGCCCCGTTTCCTCGGCAAAACATAATCAGCTAAATGCTGGTCTACACGGTCAACACCCCCCATCGTGTCATTATACTGTATTACAGCCTTTGGTTTTCTCTTTGGTCCTGACTTTGTTGCCACTTCTTGGGTGTCGATATTGTGAACCGTTGATAATAAGCATACATCTTTCTTATCTCTCCATTTCATAACAGTAACTTTTCCTCGTTGATAACCTATTATTTCGCCTCTCTGAATCTTTCTCCGTAGCCCTTCTGGAACTTCCTTTCTTTGCAATTTCAATGTACCATATACATCCGTTTTGTGTTGCAATAGCAAGTCAGCAAGTTGCGGACTATTATAGAAATTATCCATGGTTAGGCAATATCCCTTCCCTAAAAGTTCTTTAGAGAGAGACATAACCACTTTAGCAGACACTAGATTCAAATGAAGAAAATCAGGATCAATTATTGTTCCCTGACCTGTATAAATGATGAAATTCCACACGTAGCCACTTTTAGACTCGCACAGCATGTAAGTCTTGATCCCAAACCGTGCTCTTTTTAGTGGTATGTACTGAATCCAACCAATCGCCCCTTATACAACAAAAGACTTTCATCAATTGTTATATATTTGTCTGGGACGACCAACTCACGGAATTTCTTCACCAATGGTTCATAAATTGGAAATATTTTGTTCAATTTCGGATTTGGGTGCGTATCGGGATTGTAAGTTTCATTGTTCGTAAAATGTAGGAATCGTTTGATGCTTTCAAACCGTTTGCATGACATAGCTTTCGGGAAAAATGGAGTAGTGACTAATGGATTCTTAGACCAATACATTTTCATTTCTGGTTTTTTCACTACACTTTGCATTATGATAATGGCTAAAAACACCCTTATCTCATCAGCAGTTACAGCGGTCCATTTGTCAGTCGTATTATTTGTAGCATTTGTAGCTAAAGTCTGCTGTGCGTATCTATTCGTCTCTTCAGTTATCAGAGTTATCAGTGTGTCATCGATAAATTTTTCGAAGAAAAAAAGTACGTCCTCATCTCCAAAAGTTGTAAAACTTGCACCAATATTTTCAGCAAAAGGAAATGCAGGTGGGGCAGGTGAACCATCTTTTATTTCACACCATGTCCTGATGGTTTGAAAATCTTCATTATTACCTTCACTCGAAGCATCCGAGTCACTCGCCTCATCCTCAGAATCACTTCCGCTTGTTTCTAAACTGTTTTCCATATTCGAACCTCCCGTCAATTCAAACTCTTCGTCGTCTTCCGAATTTGAGATACTACTAACATCATCACTATCACACTCCATTTTTCCAGTTTATTCCAAGAAAAAAAAATTTTGCCCACAAAATAGGCTTGCCTGTTGCGTAAATATATTTAGATAACGACTGCATACAAAGAAGACTTCTCAACAACTGATATATCTTTGGTACTAATTTGCAGGTGCAGAAACAGTAGGCGGCAAAAGAGCATTATCCATATATGCTGATTAGACACGCCCCCTGAACCCTGGATTGGTCGCATACATTTTTCCGAAATATCTCGGTTGAAGTCATATTGACTTGATTGTAATACGTATAAAATCGGGTTGTAGATAATGACACAGTGTTAGTGTTAGAGATAATCGAGTTAACTCGGGTTGGAAAAAAAATTTCAGAATTCTCAACACGAGTAATCTCGGGTTAAAGTGCTAAGCGGTTAATGAGTTAAAAACACTGTTGATGGAGAATTCTTACCTAGAAAATCTAGTCGATAAAATTTTGTTTAATACCGATACTAATAATGTTTCCCCATTACATAATAGACTGTTCGATAACAACGTAGAAACTGATAACAATTTACAAGTCATTGCTCTCAAATATAAATCGTTTTTGTTTTTAAAAGAACTTGCGCCATTAATGTATATTATAAAGGATTTAAATGTTAAAATTGGATTTAAAAATTGACTCACTTACAATAGACTTTTTTCTAGAACTAAAGAACCCTACCATAAATTAAAAAAATCAGGGGTTGTTTATAAAATTGATTGTTTTAATTGTAACCAGACATACATGGGACAAACAGGTCGTACGCTAAAAGGTAGACTTACATCCCACAAAAGTGATTGTAATTTAAAAAAAACGTCCTGTGCTCTTTCAGAACATACATTAAGTACAGGCCACAAAATGAATTTTAACGGTGTCACAATTTTGGAGAGTGAAATCAACTATAATAAGCGTGTTTTTCTGGAAATGGTTCGTATCAATGAATTTTCTAATGCTCTGAATAAAAAGTCAGATATTAATAATTTGAGTAGTATTTATAATTTTTTATTACATTTTGATAAATATAGAAATTTACCTGTCTTTTTCAAATTTGGAGTGATTTGCCGCCTCCGTTTTAAGTTGGTACTGTGGTTGGCAATGCTAATTGTCCCTGTATGTTGTTCAGTAACAGTCCTATCCAGAAGTTTTAATTTTACGTAAGGTGTGTAATGCCAGTGGTAGAATTAATATCAGAGTACTATTTTACCAACAAAATGTATATTGTCTATCGCGCCGCGCCGCGCGCGCCATTATTCCATGGCTAGAAATTGGCCTCAATGATTTGGGATCGAGGGGGATTATCCCTCTTTATCCTGCCTCATCTCGTGTAGGCCTGGACAGCCTTCGTAGGTGGGCCCCATCCGTCGTCTACCCCGACCGCAAATGCGGCCGGTGTAGGCGCTTTGTGGGACCTCCTTTTGTCCTGGCTGGGCCCCGCCGGCTAGGGCCCTTTCTTCTGGCGCTCTTCTTGCTTCGCCGGCTCGTCTGTGTAAACCCCGGGGGTAGTGTCATGTTTATGTGTGGTATGGTTGGGTAGGGTAGTGCGGCTATGCAGCCTGGGATGCGCTTTGCTAAGGTGGCCCTTAGGCTAGCGCGGGAGGGGAGGGTTAAGGAGGGTATGGGGGGTGTGTGTGTGTGTGTGTGTGTGTGTCGTTGTCTTCGTTTCTTGATCCTGGCTGTCTCTGAAACAGAAAAGGTTAGCGGGCAGGGGGGGGGTCATTGGGGTGGTCACCCAGGGTCAAAAAGTTGGTGTCTAGGTCTTTTGTGTTTGTCGGTCACGTCGGGTACGTAGTCAACGGCTTGCCTGAGGAGGGGATTGTCATGTCTAGCGGCTACGTCAAATCGTTTCTCCGCGTTTTGTCTTATTGTCTGTGTAGCGTTTGTGTATTGTAAGTCTCGTAATATGTCAGTGTTTCTTACGTACCAGGGCGCGTCGGTGGCCGTGCGGAGGGCTATGTTTTCCACAGCCTGTAATGACTTTAAGTGGCTTTTTGCCGCGTGACCCCACGCCGTGGAGGCGTAGGTTAGCTGCGGTTGAAGTACCACCTTGATAAGCGTTCGCTTATTCCTTAAACTGAGGGTGTTTCCACCTTTGAGTAAGGGATAGAGCCTAGCCCTGGTGGTCTTCGCTCGCGCCACCGTCTCCACGATGTGCGGTTTCCACGTGAGACGCTGGTCCATCGTCACGCCCAGGTATCGTGTTTGTCGATTCCAGGAGATAGGTTCCTGGGATAGTGTCAGTCTGTCGAGGTTTTGTGGGATTTTTCGTTTGGTAAAAAGGATAGCCGAACTTTTGTTGGGATTAATTTTGACTTTCCACCTGTTGCACCAGGTTTCAAGTTGGTCTAAGGAGTTTTGGAGGAGGGAGACGGAATATCTAGGATCTACGGATTGGGATGTGATTGTCAGGTCGTCGGCGTATAAGTATATGTTGGTGTTGGGGGGATGTGGGATGTCGGAGTTGTAAATGGTGTATAGGTGTGGGGACAGGACGGTGCCCTGGGGGACACCGGCCTCCATGGGACGGGTGGTGGAAAGGGAATCTTGGATTTGGATGCGGAATTTTCGGTGGTGTAGGTAGGATTTTATGAGTTTGGTAAAGGATATGGGATATTGGTTGGTGAGCATTTTCATCAGTAGGCCTTCATGCCAAACCGTATCGAAGGCCTTTGCGACGTCCAGGAAGACAGCACCAGTGTACTGTCCCCTGTTGAAGGCCGCCGTGATGTGCTCGGTAAGGCGAAGGATTTGGAGTTCAGTGGAGTGATTGGGTCGGAAGGCGAACTGCTAGTCTGTAATGACTTGCAGTTCTTGGGAGTGGGTTCTTAGACGGGTTAGGATAATTTTTTCTACCACTTTGCTCATAGCCGGGAGCAGGCTAATGGGCCGGTAGTTGGATGGGATGGTGTGATCTTTGCTGGGTTTTGGGATAAGGATTATGTTTGCTGTTTTCCAGCGGGTAGGGAAGTGTCTTAGTCTGAGTGTCGCGTTTGTTATGTTTAG